ACAATATTATTATCCTTTCCTTCCAGTGTGAAGTGTATGTTAGCTTCCTCACACAGCAAATGCTATTACTGCCCCACTGCAGTGGTGGGGAACCTCTGTTCTGTGGGTCTAATAAGGCCTCCCAATTTGGCTCATGAGGCTGTTTCAACTAGGCCATGCACAACTGTCCTTCACCTGCCGCCTCCTATGACACATTGCAGTGTGTGTGTGTTACAAGGCAACTCCCCATTTATGCCAGGCACTGTGTTCCAAGGCACTGTGTGCTCATCCTGCTCTGCCCTACTTCCCATTTGCATTGAATCCAGATGAAACGGTGGGAGTACAGCATTGGTACTTGTCAGTAGTAATGGACTGGATGAGGGTTTACAAGCAGTGTTAGCAGGTTCCACTGTCAAGATGAGTGGTGTTTAACTGGTTCTAAAAGGGATTGAGCTGAATCTAAAGCAGGGGTCAGCAAACTTTTTTTTGGAGGAGGCCGCTTCACTGTCCCCCAGAGCTTTTCTCCCCCCCTCTCCCCCTGCCTACCTCCTCCGCCGCTCTGCCTGCGGTTGGGAGCCGGCAGCGGCGGTGGCACCTCTGCCTTTCAGGCCAGCTTTCCCGGGCACCAGGCGCGGGACCAGCAGGCGCACCAAGCTCTAGCGCACAGCACAGCCATGGGGAGAGGCTGGCGGGCAGGTGGCGAGGTTTCCTATCAAAGCCTAGCCCCCTTCCTCTGCAGGGCAGGGAGAAGCCAGGAAGAGGGAGGGAGGAGGGAGGAGACGACGATGCGGTGAGGGAGGGAGGGAGGGAGGGGGGAAATTGCCAAAAATAATGGCGCCGATTCAAGCAGCAATTGCAGAACTCTTCTAGGGCCGGATCCAGAGTGCAATTGTACTGGATCCGGCACACAGGCCTTAGTTTGCCAACCCCTGATCTAAAGGATAAAAATTGGGGGTGTCTTTGGCCTGTCACATATTGAGAAGCAAGGGGATGGTGCCACTTATCAAGACCAGAAGCAACTGTGAACCATACAATCCAAAAATATCATATAAAAACATGAGGCTAGCACATTTAGGCATATTTTTAAAAGTGGTGACTAATATCATATTTCTTGTAATTTTCTAGATCAGTGCTGTAATTATACAACTGCTTACAGATGAGTATTTGTACTGAAGCCAGTAGAACTCTCTATGACATTTAGCCATATAAAAATCCTTGAACGTAATAGAAATAATTACTAACTTTAAAATGCTGACCGATATACTTTAAATATTTACAATAATATTTGCAATCCAGGTTTAAACATACAATATTAAACTGATAGTTTAAATATTTATAGTTTGAATGTTGCAAATAGATCTGAACATATTTAAGATTGTTTTAATATATGTAATTGTTTTTATACGTGCAATTGTTTTGTAAATGGTTTTCATTGTATTGCAAAAGTGCTTTGAGATGTTTCAAAAGAAGCAGTTCATAAATGAAATGATATGATATGCAAGATGGTTCCTATTGTTGGATTAATGTCTGTTGGTACTCTATAAGAGTATGTAGGCATTCAGTGGCTCCATTCAGATGTAACACATGAAGGACAGGAAACTGAAGCTTCCATTCATGGTTTAGTTTTCACTTCATCTTGCAGCAACTCACTGATGCCCAAATCTATCTCTCAGGTTTTACTCTTCCCCCATCATATCACCAAATGCGCCCTCAGAAGGTAGTAGCACTGTGGAACTCAGCATCATTGGGCAAAACCATGGTGAGAGTAGCTCTACAAAGCTGCATTACACATTGTTTAATGCCACATTAAAATTTTATCTACATAGGAAAACGAATGAATGGATTAGGCTTAAGCCTAAGAGGTCACTCTCCTCATCTAAGACAAGATCTACAACTGACCTCACAACAGTTGCAGGAGGTGGATGGAATGGCTTATTCCAAATGTGCCTTATTCCAAAGCAGAGACATCAGTTTGCAGAGTGTTGTCTTATTTAAGATGAAGGTCTACTGGTTGGTTGGGAGGCCATTCAGAGTCAGTGTGTCATGTGTCAGGGTCCATGTTTTCTCTAATCATTTGCAAGACATTGCAAAACATTGCATTCATACTTGAAAATTCCTACTTGCAAACCATTTGATAACCTTGTGTCTAGATTATCTTCACAAACCTCTGTTGCTTTCTTGATGTTTGTCAGGTCATCAGCATATAGGATGATATAGGCCCTTTTTACAAGGTGCTTTGGAAACTCATGCAATACAAGAATTAGAGTTCTGGTCAAGAATGAAAAGTGCATAATTTAAATACCTTCATTTGTCTTTCCCGGTAGAGCTGCTCTAAGCGCAAAGTGCTTGAAATGACTGTCATAACACAATGGGGACTGATTTAGTAACCATGATCTTTAAGGCAGTAATCTGTTGGTCTGGTCAAGGAGCTAAGTGCAATTTAACGTGCCCATGATGAGGAAAACATTGGGAAAATGTGTATAGGAATACTTGTTTAATTTCCTCCTTGCCTCTACGCCTACTCTGGAAAAATATGAATTGTCTGGGATTGTCTGGGAAAACTATTAATCATAATGACCATGTTAAAGTGTTCTCCCCACTCATTTAGAGGTCAGCACACTAATTCATGGGCAGTCATGCAGGTCAATAAATGGGTCACATATCCACCTCTGCTTGACTACTGGCTCACTGTGCCGGTTGTCATTGAATTAACAACAGCCGGCTTTTTTGGTAAATATAGGAAATGTGCAGATGAACGGAACTTTAGGGTGGAGTCGGGCATTGCTGCCAAAGTCCAAAAATAACAATTTAAGGCAATTCATCAGAATGATTACCATATCTTGCATATTTTTTATTTTTTGTAGATAGCAAAAATAAATTCGCAGGAATTGATATTTACGCACAATTATGTAGAGTTGTTTTTATTTTGTTTTTAAGGTTCAGACATTGCACATTCATATTTAATCTGAATTGCCATTTGGTGAATCAGTTCTGTTAAACCAAAACCTAATAAATCTAGTGCTAATTAAGTAATTAATTCAGTTCTCAGTCCTGTGAATACAGCAAAGCAATTTAAAAAAATAAAAAATAAAAGATGCTGCAAAGAGATTGATGTGTTTAGTAAAGAGATAATTAGATTTCATATTCAAAGTAAATAAAAAGCATAATTTTTCATTAATTAAAACCCTATTGGTGTGCACATAAAATGAAGTTTTAACTCTTCATTCTCAATATTAGCTGATACGTCAGTACCATCCCAATAATACAGAAGAGAATGGAGGCTGTGAGTGGCTTCTCCAGGGCCATTCAGAGTGTATGTGACTGAGTACAGATGTAAACCAAGGGCGTCTGGCTGGGCTTAGACACAAGGGGAAATCACAGATCATTACAGCCATAATTTGGGCCGATAAAGATCTCAGCAGACAGATAATAGTTTGCAGTTGTTTGCTTGCTTTTGCTTTCTATCTGCTGATCATTCACTTTAATACCTTCATACCCATCTCCATTGCTCAGAAGCAATGGAGTTTAGGCTAGACAACTCCCATCTCCATGGTGTTGAGGAAAAGAAAACTAGCCCTAACTGTGGTTTGTCAATGATATGTTGATTCAGCCATAACAGCAAACCATAGTTTGCACAAACTGTGGCTTGTAAATGAACCACAAACAGTGGACTTAGATCTTGGTTTGTGGGTTCCAAAACAATAGATTGTGGAAAGACTGTAGCTCTGACATTTAGTCAAACCATAGCTCAGCTGAACAAGTCATGATTTCACGTTATGTCTAAACCCAGCCAATGAACTACTTCTGTGTTTTACTGGGTAGTCATGGCTCAGAAGCTATCAGTTCCAAACATGCTTAGTCTGAGCAAGATTTTCTGTCTGCTTAGCAGGAAAAAAATAGCTTTTAAAAACATGCCCCTATTTTTGCATTGCTTTGCAATTTTAAATGCCTAGAGTGACCCCATCACCCATGCCACAAAGAACTTTATTTTCCCCCTTAAGACTCCAGTTAATTTATGCTGCTGCAGAATCATAAACAACATATTTTGAAACCGCCATCAAGGAACCAACTGTTCCCTGTCACTTTTACATGTCTGCTTTTGGACTGAGGAGCACAATTTTATAAAAACCTTCATGCCTCATTTGTGTATGGCATTAATATTCTTCTGGGAAGTTCACCTTTAAAAAGTCATTCAAATGGAGTAAAATAATAGTATCAATACAAATATTTGTATCAGATCAAAGCAAGCAGCATAAAATCACTTTAAGAGAAGCATCAAGTTAGTTAAAAATTGTTCCAAAGACTGCGATACACTGAAGCATAATTTTAAAAGACCTGGTAGAATATGAAGGTCTTTACCTGGTACCAAAAGATGTCTCACCCTCATAGATGGGTGCCATTGTGGGTTGGTCCAACAACGGATGCCCCCTTTGAGCCATATCACAAAGGAAGCCCCTGGGCCGAGCTTGCTGCCTTTGGGGTGGATTCAGCCGAATCGCACAAATGGGCAATCACAAGTGGGCATGGGAGCGGGCCACTCCTGATGAGCAGGCCCAACTGGACCTGAAGGTTTCACTTGGGTCTGTGTCCTGAATATAAAGGGGTGTGTGTGGCCTATCTTTTCAAGCCACTTCTTCACCGGATCTCCTACCCTCTCTCCCTGCATGGTTGACATTTGTTGGTCACCATATTTGGGACCGGGTTGGATTTTTCCCACTTGGCAAATTGGTTCCAACTCTGGTTTTCACCATCCTCGTAGGAGTTGTCACAACTTTGGTGGTTTATGATGTTTTAACATAGTTGCAGAGCATGCTCAACTGGGATGCTTCCCAACTGGGATGCCACCCAGAGTGGCTGGGGCAACCCAGTCAGATGAGCAGCATATAAATGACTTTTTATTTTATTTTATTTTATTTTATTATTATTATTCATAGCTGGGGTACTACCAGTGTAGAGGCTACCCACCACACCCCTTTAGCTGGAGGATCCTAGAGAACTGCCTCTGATAAAGATTTTAAGGCGAGCCAGCTTAGCCCAGCAGTTCCATTGACCAACACATTGGTTGGATCCTCCGATCGCTTCCGGTGGTTTGAGACCTGCGGGTGCTGCCTGGCTTTTTAAAAATAATAAAATAAAATAAAATATTTTAAGGTATATAATGGAGGAAGTGATCCTTTAAAAAACCAACCCTCACAACACTTAGGATAAGGTCTGTTCTAACACTATACATGGACCAGGAAGTGGGTTGGAATCCAGTGCAATTGATGAAGTGTTGGGGTGTATCTGCCAGCCCCATTAATGTCCTCGCTGCTTTGTTGTGGACCAGCTGGAGTTTCTGAGCCATTTTCAAAAGCAGCCCCACATACAACACATTAGTTATCCAACTGCGATAGCATCATATTTTGTTGTATAAGCTGAAGCTGATAAAAGACATCCCATGCCATCAAGACCACCTGTGCTTCAGGTAACAATACTGGCTCCAGGAGTACCACAAATTACTAACCTGCTGCTTCAGGAGTTGTGCAAAAGTATCCTAAACAAGTTGTGAACACACATAACTAGGTAGATGAACCATCTGCAAAGTAACTCTGTCTTATCTAGATTTGAGTTTCAGTTTATTAGCCAGATTGCCAATCATAATCACAATATCCTTTCCACTGGTGCTAGAATATAGGCCCTGACACTTATATATATAATCAGTGCAGCTCTCTCCGAGGTCACCAGATATTAAACAGATATTAAACAGCTGCTGTCCAACAGCTACTGGTTTATATGAAATGGGTTGCCAGCCATAGTCCAATACTTAGTGAAAAGGTACCTTTACCTTCCTTGCTTGTAAGTGGAAGCCTTGATAGAAATTCAAAAGTTTGAATGAGCACAATTAATATAGTGTTCTAGTTGAGGATGGGCAATCAGCCTTCCACCCACCCTTAAACTGTTCAGGGATTTTTGAGTATTCTAAGCAAACACTCAAAAAGCCTCAGATGCCGTCAAAAACCAGAGGATTGGCAACTTAAGTTGACAGAATACGCAGAACTTGCAGACTTAACATATAGGATAAGAGAGCAAGAAGAACACACATTTAGAGAAGACTGGAAAACTTTTATTGAATATCTGGGAAATGACTGTATACAGCTGAAAAGGCTGGCAGCATAAAGATAAATTCAACAGAGTAAATAATTTTTGATGTAAAAGTGGAAAACTGATTTGAATGGCTATAGTAAAATATGCAGGGATGTACGGTATGTAAAATGAACCATGGAAAGAGTAGAAGGAAAGTCACTGGATATTTTAAAGTTTGTAAAATGTTTACTTGGAAATGTAAAATTCAACAAAAAATATTATATATATAAAAAACAAAAAGCCTCAAATGTGTTTGTTTCAAATACGCAAAGCACATAAAGATGCCCACCTTGTTTTCCTGGACTTCACCTTTTTCTCTGCAAATCCACGCCCCCCCCCCTTCCCCAGCACCCAGAAAATATTTCTGCATGGGAAAAGGTGGCAGGAGACAACAAAATATACGGTAATTTAATAAATAAAGTAGAGGAAAGTGGTCTCTCAAGTAACAAGGTCCCAAGTTGTTTTGGTACTTAGCTATATTTTATATGCAGTATATAAAAGACTTTTAAGCCATAGTGAGTAGATTCAGGTCATTCTGTGGGTTGATGGTAGTAGCTGTAGTAATAGCAGCAGGTGAACTGTGTGATTTTAAAAAAATGTTGATTGGACCCATTTTTAGTCTCTATCTAGTATGCTTCCTAAAGTGATGGTATCATCATTTGAAAAAATGAGAGCTGCTGCGTAGAACTTTGCTTTTAGCAAGTGCTGAAGTTGTTCACATCTTAAGATGATTTTAATGGGTCCTCTTAAGGGATATAATCTATATATTTATGAAGGGCATGTAAGGCTTCCCTGTCTCATCCTCTGTTACAACCACAATTGGTAATTATTTGGTGCTATTTCTAATTGCTCAAACCATATCACATACATCATCTCAGCCGTTCCGCAAGAATCCTGGAAGTAGGCCAGTAGTATTATTGTCATATTACAGATGGTGGCCAAGGCTAAGAGGCAGCTGTTTGTATAAGACCGTATGCTAGGGTGATGGTGGTAGGGCATTCCAGCTCATCGCTCAGGCTTTTAACCACTACACCACACCAACTCTCAAGGGCTTTGTGAGAAAGGCAAGTGGCGCTGATGCAGGAAGGGGCTATTCCTCCTCCTCCTCCTCCTCCTCCTCCTCCTCCTCCTCCTTTGACTGCTGTTCAACTTGTCCTCAGTGGCATAGCAAGGTCAGGTGGTACCCGGTGTGAAAAAGTTCTTGTCATCCCCACATTGAAATTATTAAAAGAAGGAAAAACAAGATACTTACAGTTGCAAGTGTTATTTTCTGGCTTATTTACTTAACATTTTGAGCATAAGCACTTAAAACCTTTCTTTCGTAATGGGAATTTCTTATGAATTAAATTTTTAACTTAATTTTGCTATTTTGAAGCTTTGGTTTAACGTACAAATACAAACAAATAGCATGCATCATAATGTTTAGGTTATTTACCAAACTCAGTATCATAGAGAAGAGGATGATCACAATGAATCAAGGAACTTAAAAATGTAACAAAAATAAATTCAGCACAGCACTTATAAGCTTCAGTAATAATGCACAACTAACTCAACAGAATTACGTGGGGTGACTGACCAGCACGGCAGCGGATAGGACTGGTTGCCGGTTGAGTGATGATGAGTCACCGGTTGTTTACGTCTCGCTCAAGTACAAACTGCAGAGACAGACTTCAGCGAATCGGCAGAAAGAAACACCCCCTCTCTTTCCCTATCCATACGCTCTCCACTACACAGCGTCGAGTTCAGCCACGTTTCGTTGCGTTTGTTGACTGAACTATGTATTGAACTAAGTTTCAATACATATTTTGTTGACTTGTTGAGGTTAATTGTCAGACGAAGTTATTAAACTCGTTTTAAATACAGTGGTACCTCGGGTTAAGTACTTAATTCGTTCCGGAGGTCCGTTCTGAACCTGAAACTGTTCTTAACCTGAAGTACCACTTTAGCTAATGGGGCCTCCCGCTGATGCCGCGCCGCTGGAGCACGATTTCTGTTCTCATCCTGAAGTAAAGTTCTTAACCCGAGGTACTATTTCTGGGCTAGCGGAGTCTGTAACCTGAAACGTCTGCAACCTGAAGCGTATGTAACCCGAGGTACCACTGTAATACTATTATTATTATTTTTAAAAAAGTGTCATGAGCCCAATTTTTTATTATAAAAAACCCACATATTTTTGCCATTTTGTCACTCCCCCCTCAATGACACCCAGGGTGGACCACACCCACCGCACCCCCCTTCCTACACCACTGCTTGTCCTGTCTTGTTATGTCTGAGGAAAGGAGCAGCTATGTCTGGCGCTAAGTTGCTCCACACCTCTGTGACACAAAGCTGCAGACATTTTACACCTTCCAACACAGGCCTTTCGGATAGAAAAAGAGCTTTGCAAGAAAGGCTTCACAAAGAAACGCGGGGAAAGGTGGCCTCACAAGGGCACAATGTTGTACAGTTTTTCTTCAGCCCAACAGGTGGCTTGTCAACATGCCATAACTGTAATTTTATATGGAGGTATGTAGAAGCTTTAGTACACAGACTACAGTATTTCAATTATGCCCATGCCTTTGATACTACACTACACGGTCGGGAATAGAATGGCATTAATTCAACATGGTGTATGCCAGTGTTAGCTATGCAGATTTTCTTACGTTGAATGCATGTGGCCAACAAGAAGTTGTACCAGTAATGTTTGGATTTATTTTGATTTGTGGATCATATAGTAAGCACGTGTAGTTATAGTGAAAAGGCATCCTGAAGAATGCATGCACCAAACGGCCATTAACGAACACTTCTATCTTTAGAGATGCCTTATAAACAAAACGCCATCTACATACAATAATGATTTATTGCAACAATTTGCTGTTGTGCTTGTGGATTGTTGGCTTAGGTGTGGGAACTCGCAGAGAGCTTGATGCGGGAATATTATCTGTGGGCAGCAATCTCTTATGCTGGCAGATGAGGCACACAAACAGTTTGATCCCTTGCCGAATCAAGCTGCATGTTGTTGGCTTAAAAATCTAATGGAAAGAGTGCCCATAACACACAGCTTTCTTTACCTACATTTGGAATTCTCGTGGGATGGGGAGGTGCTTTGGCAGATTTGGAGAGAAAAGGTGACAGGCAGGGAAAGACTGGAGCTCAATAAGAGAGTACATGCTTTGCATATAGAAGGTCTAAGGGCTGGGGGAAACTGCTGCCTGAATCGTAGAGAGCTGTTGCCACTCAGTGTACTGGGCTAGATGGGCAAAAATGGTCTGTCTTAATTTAAGATGGTTTTCTGTGTTGTTAGGGTTCTTAGTGTTAAGCACTCCCCCCCCCTTCCTTATCCCTTATCTAATCCCAATCGCTCCATTGGAAAATGAAACTCTTCAACTCTTCAGAAGATCTAAGTGATAATAATTTATTGGCACAATTTTAATTCCATTTTGGTACTGAGAGCTTTAAGCAACAATGGCCCTTAATGACTCAAAGGCCACTTTTCTGACCAAGTTACTCTCAAGCAGGAGACTGATTAGCTTTCTTCCAATATTCTTTCTTGTGTTTGATGAGGACTGGCTTAGCTCAAAGTGTTTTAGGTTATAATATCTATTATAAATACAAGATTCCCAATTTTGGAATGGATGGGTAAAAATCTCATCAGGTTAGGTGAATTGTTAAATGACTTGTGTCTGTGCGTCCTTTTGAAAATGATGCTTTAGGAAACGGATGTAGCTCTGGGGCAAACACTTAGGCATTAAATGCACATTTGCATTTAATGCACTGGGCCGTTGTTGTTTTTAATGGGTAAGATTGTGAGCATGGGGAATTTTTAGCCCCTTATTCTCTTTTCCTTCCTGTGGTCCTGAAGAAAACCCCTCATTTGAAGATGGTTCTGCACACTTCTAGCTCTAGGGAAGATAGCCATCCATTGTATGTTTCCTAAGTAAGTAAGACTATTTTGTTCAATAGGACATACTTCCAAGTAAGTGTGTGTAGGATTACAGCCAGAATCTAGAGCATTATT